TGGGTTGGGTGCCATGGCGTCATAGCTCACCACAACCTCAAACTCTTGGGCTCAAGCAATTCTCTTGCCTCAGCCTCCCAAGTAGCTGGGATCACAAGTGTCCACCACAATGCCCAGACATTTTTAGAGACAGGGTCTCACTCTAGCACAGGCTGGTCTCAAACCCATGAGCTTAGGCCATCTGCCTGCCTTACTCCCCCAAGTGCTGGGATTATAGGCGTGAGCCACCGGGCCCGAATCTTGACATTTTTTGTAGGTGTATAAATTTTTCCATGTGTTATTGTTTTTGCAGCTGTTGTGAATGATAGAGTCCTTCTTTGATCTGTTATGTTATTAGACTCACCTGCCAAGGAGCAGCGTGTGCTGGCCCTGAGCCCCCTGGGCACCAGCAATGCTTCTTTCTTTGGGTATAAAAGCAGTGGTAAGCTTAGGACTTCAAATTCACTGGTATCAGCAGGGTGCTCGCTAACACTAAGTGCCTAAATATGCCAGGCATGATGCTGGTGTTGTAAATAAATGCATAACACGTATATGAATCATGTTATTAACCTTACTTCAAAGATAAAAAGTCAGAAGTCCAAGGTCTCAGTGGCAGTAAACTTTCACCTCCAAAGCCATTATTTTCTACCATAATCCAGAAGGAGCTGTAGTGGGCAGTGAGGTGACTGGTTATTGTTCTTACGACATTATCATTCTGTCACTAATTACATACCACCCAAATGTATTTTATTTAGGTTGGTCAGACTCATTACAGTTACTCTTTTTTAGATAATTAAGGCAGTATACATTTTTGCTAAATGTTGAAAAACACATCAAGTAGTCATCCAAATAATCTCTAGATTCCACGTGTCTTTTTTATTTTTCAAGCTTTCACTATTGTTTTCCCCAAGTTATCTCCTTTCAGCATTCCCATAAATGCATCTGGCATGTTTTCAAATCCTTCAATGACATATTCATGGTACTGGATTTTACCCTGTATCAAAACAACAGATTTAATAAGTTAAGTTCATTCTCAAAGATACACTCTTCTTACCCTAACAATAAATTTATCTGTACATCATGGGAACCTTGAAAACAGCAATGGAGGCCCTGTCCTCTGTGAACTTGAAGTCAATTTGGGGGCAAGATCCATGTACACAGTACATGTAGCAGATCACAAAGTGCACACAAGAAAAATGTAATAATAAGTGTTAGATCACAGCGAGAAATGTCACAAGGCAGTGATTAAGCTATTCCTAAGTAAGTTGTATAGCAAAGTTTAATAATGTAATGATCTGGGCAGTGCCTGTGGCTCAAAGGAGTAGGACACTGGCCTCCTATGCTGGAGGTGGCAGGTTCAAACCCAGCCCCAGCCAAAAACTGCAAAAAAAAAGTAATGATCTCAGAAAAGAGCTCCCTTCATTACTTCTAGCTGGTCCCTGAAAAAGTGGGTCCTATTCAGGACAAATAAATACTGTGACAGTCTAATAATGTCTCCTCTTTAAGCCGAGGCTCTTCAACGTGTGTTTAACATTTGGGAGTATGGGAGGGAAGGGTTCATGTTACTCAGAAAGTTTTCTCATTTCTCTTTCTACTACAAGGCACAGTTTACTAAGTCAGACTAATTTACATTTTCAAAATTTTTAAGGGGTCTTATGTAGAGACCTGAGTTACCTGATACCAGATTTCCCCTAATGTATTCTAGTGATGGTTTAATACATTTTATGGATTTATGGAAAAGATTATTTGCTTGAAGTCACTCAATTAGAAAGTAGAGCAGCTGAGGGCAGCACCTGTGGCTCAGTGAGTAGGACACTGGCCCCATATACCGAAGGTGGCAGGTTCAAGCCCGGCCCAGCCAAACTGTAACAAAAAAATAGCCGGGTGAACCCCAGAAGTGCATTAATGTACATAGTTACCACTCAATAAAAAAAAAAATAGCCAGGCACTGTGGCGGGCACCTGTAGTCCCAGCTACTCGGGAAGCTGAGGCAGGAGAATCGCCTAAGCCTAGGAGGTGGAGGTTGCTGTGAGCTGTGATGCCACGGCACACTACCAAGGGCGACAAAATAAGACTCTGTCTCTACAAAAAAAAAAGAAAGTACAGCAGCTGAGATTTGAATTCTTGACTTGAAGCCCCAACTCATTTCTGCTCTTGAAGAGGCAAAGAATCTGGATAGGGTAGAAAGGTAGAATCCGGTTTAAAGGTTAAAAATAGATAATGAAGGCTCAGCGCCCGTAGCACAGTGGTTACAGTGCCAGTATGGAATACCATGGAAGAATACCAAGGGATTGGCTTCTTCCTCTGGATCTAAGAAGGCTCCAGGTTCAAACCCAGCCTGGCCAGCTAGAAAAACAACGGTGACAACCGTAACAACAACAAAATAAAATAGCCAGGTGTTGTGGCAGGCGCCTATAGTCCCAGCTACTTGGGTGGCTAAGGTAAGAGAATCGCTTAAGCTGAAGAGTTTGAGGTTACTGTGAGGTGTGACACAATAGCACTGTACCAAGGGCGACATAGTGAGACTCTGTCTCAAAAAATAAAAACTGAGAATGAATACTGTTATGGACTGAATTATGCCCCTCACCCCACTCATAAGTTTAAGTTCTAATCTCCAGGACATCCTCAGAATGACTGTATTTGGAAACAGGGCCTGTTAAAGACATATGAAAGAAAGTAAAATGAGGTCACGTAGGTGGGCCCCAATTCAATGCCTGGTGTGCTTAACAGAAGGTTAGGACACCGGCACAGGCAGAGAGACCAGGTGAAGATGCAGGAGGAGGGAAGCCATCTACAAGTCAAAACGAAGTCTCAAAAGAAACCTTGCTGACTCCGTGATCCTGGACTTCCAGCCTCTAGAACTGTGAGAAATAAATTTCATTGTTTAAGCCACCTAGGCTATTGTTGTTGTTTTTTTTTTTTTTTTTTGGAGATAGAGCCTCAAGCTGTCCCCCTGGGCAGAGTGC